ATATATATATATATATATATATATATATATATATATATATATATATATATATATATATATATATATATATATATATTGTCGAATTGTGAATAAGAGCGCAGAAGCAAAAAAAAGGGAAAATAAAAAAAGGAAAAGGAAAAAAGGGGAAGAGAAGAGGTAAAGAAAACTCCACTTGTTCATAACCTCTTACGTACAAGGCGAGCCACGTGGATGACAGGTTGAGCGTTGGCTGCCCCCATCCCCGTATGTCACAAGGACCCACTTGCACGCAGCCAAAAGGCAAAGAGGTAAAGAAAAGGAGGAGGAAACCAAACCTGACAGGGAAAGAGAGAGAATCCAATTGTCACAAAGCAAATAACACATCCCACAAATCAATGTATCTTTTTTTTCTTTTTTCTTTTTTTTTCTTTTTTTCTTTTTTTTTCTTTTTTTCTTTTTTTCTCTTTTTTTTCTTTTTTTCTTTTTTTCTTTACCTGTCCCTACCTCGGCAGATAGGACAGCTACGGTGAGGATGATGTGGATGTTCACAAGGATGCCCAAGGAGAGTTGCGTCAGCACAACATTCTGCAGGACGGCTAGCACGAACCATCCCATCAAAACAGTCCTGACAGAGGACATGTTGTCCACATGTCAAAAACACAACAGGACGTTCATCACAGTGCGGCATCATACAGTTTTGATAGCGTCCTTGGGCACAATAGGACCACGTCTATCTGGGTGATAGGGATGTGTACAATGAGAAAATGTATATATATATCGTCAAATAGAACTGCCCGGTAAACCGTAGGCAGAGAGGGAGAAGAGAACAACAAACGAGGGGCTGTGACATATATATATGTCGTCAAACAAAGTATGTAGAGTTCACTGTGCACTGAGTCAAGTGTCCTTGCCAATATAATGATTACGAGGGAGGGTTGCACATGAGGGACTGGATACACTGAACAAGGGTTTAAGGCTAACAAGCAAGGCAAAAATGTCTCTAAGGAGTTGTGCGAGTACAGGAAAGGATGTTAGGTAGTTGTGATGACTAGTCACCCACACGCTTGCTATGTTATAAAAAGTATGATCCTGCCAACCGCAGCCATTAAAAAAAAAAAAAAAAAGTTTTTATCTTACTTGAAACGCGGATATAAAATATCTATAAGTTAGTTGGACCTTTCACTTTGAAAATAACACTTGCTCCAAAATATTTATAAAAAAGTATCTTTCAAAGTGGGATGTTTTTCCACGACTCCATTGCTCGTTTTTTTTTTTCATCTTTTAAAAAATTACATCAAAACACATATGCAAACACACTTGTAGACAAAGTGACAAAAAAATAACAAATATGAAGAAAAAGAGATAAAACCTATTTTTTCACTCCCCTTCTCCTCTTTCTCTGTCTTTCTCGTTTTTCCTCACCTTTGTTTTTATCAAAAGAGAGAACTATTGTTGCATATATAGAACAATTGCATAAAGAGAGAAAAAAATAAATAAATAATAATAATAATAAAATGGAGAGAGATAAGAAAATGATTATTTATAAATGCTTCAAATTTCACTTCTAAGTTTTAACCCATAAAAATCTGCTACTATGCTACAGGGCGACTAAATGGCAAATATGTTACAATCAACAAATAATTTACTTGATAATACAACATTATTTTATGTTAGTCCTCGGGTGACCTGGATGGGGAAGGTCACTCAAATACCCTACCGAGCATCCCGGACAATTCGAACACATAATCTTAAAATAGAAATAGAACATAAAAACAAATTAAAATATAAAAAGAAAAAAAATGTTGTGTAAAATTATAATACAAAAAACTTTGGACAAAAGGGCATCTCAAATTTCCTTATCAATTTGAAGATAAAAATAAATAAGGAAATATGAGGTAAGATATATCATTTTAAACCTCTTTAGTCACTATTTATACCCCCTATATCTGCTTTGGGTGACCCATCACTAAAATGGAAGGTAAGGTCGGATTCTAACTGCCCAGGTCAAGCGTACTCCTAGTTCGAACGGATCCTTACCTCTTTTTCGACGTGTCTTGTTTTGTCGGGTGACCCCCCCTTGACCAGATGCATCGGGCGTGTTTGGCCGAGCAACGGCCCAACATAGATATTCTTTAGTATATTCATCAGTGTTTTATTAAGAACATCAATTTTATGAATAAATATTTTATTTTTATTAAATAATTGTTAACTTAATTGTGTAGCACACAACAATGATATTATACTTGAAAATCAAACTGATAAAAAAATGGGTAACTAAAATAACTAAATTTTTTTTCATTATTTTCTAGGCTACCAGCCAGGCCGCCCGGGTCCCGGGTGACCAGCCCGTGCAAGAACAAGGGAGGGTCCCAGCAAAAAACAAAAAACATCCCAAAAATCTGAAAAAAAATTATGTCATGCAGAAAAATAAACTAAACACGTTTGCCTCAGGGTCACATCGAAATTTTTTACCAAATTTAAAACATAAAATAAAATTTTAAAATATTTTTTATGTTTTTAAATTTTAAATATTTTTGGCCCGGTCGGGCAAGTGACCCCGGACCACTCTGGTAGCCTAGATTATTTTTCTTTTTTTGGAAGCAATAAAATGTCAAAATAACGAAACGCTATTAAAAATATAAATTTATTTTATATAAAAATAACTTATGAGGTTAAAACTTTTTTTTTTTTTTTCATACCTTCGTTTATTTGAATTTTATCTATATTTAGTAGACTCAAAACAAATGTTAAAAAAATATATTTTTATATGCAAAAATGAAGATTACACGTTCGACATCATTACAGATTGTATGAAGGTCATGCATTCACATATAATCCATAATGAACGTCGTACAATATAAAATAAAAGAGAGATCCCAATTGAAGGTCATGTCTAAAACATACCGTATTTTTTTTAATTTAAGATTAACTAAAGTCATCTTATAAAAAATTATCACAATCATTATCTCAATCTTCATACATGGACTCCAAGTGAAGATCATACCTTGTAAATGGTAAAGGACCTCAAGTGAAATTCATGTCATGCAGACTGTCAGTGAAGGTCATGTACTTATACATAAATATTGAATAAAGGTTGTATGTTGCAAATAAAAGATAATACTTAAATGAATATCATGTTTGTACCAAACCTATGAGTACATAAAAGGGGGCATCGATAAAAGATTTATTGCTCTAAACCTATGAGCACATAAAAATTATATTCATTTAAACCTATGAGTGCAACACTATTGACTTACATCATTCAAAATTATATTTAAGTGGATATAATGTTTGTACAAATAAAAAAACACATAAAAATTATATTTGCTCTAAACCTATGAGCATAATAACATTGACTCAAGTCATTCAAAAAAATATCATCGTGATGAGGGTTACCAGCCCGTACGTACGGAGGCCCCTGGGCGGACCTCCGTACGTTCGGGGTCCCGTACGGGGTCCGAACCCGACGATGTTCGGCCCCCGCCAAAAATTATTTCGGGGTCTAAAAATAATTTTTTTTTTCTGAATTTTGTTTTATCAGTTCTCTATGATGTAAGGTACATGCCTACAAATTTTCAAGTCATTTGACTTAGCCAAATAATAATTAAAAATCGCCAAAGATGGCGGTGTCAAAATGTGCTCGCCCACGTTTTGTTTCACTTTTGACTTTTTTTTTTTCACTTTTGTTCGGGGTCTAAACAATTTTATTATTTTTTGAAATTTTTTTAGTGGGTTTTGTAATATGTGAAGTGCACATCTGTAAATTTTCAGGGTATTTAGCAATGCCAAAAAAAAAAAAAAAATCGCCAAAGATGACGGTGTCGAAAACATGCTTATGCACTCACTAAATTTAATTCTCTTTCAAATTTTAATTTTATTTATTTTTATTATTAGTATTTGTTTTGTGTATTTTATTTTTATTTCAAATTTGGTAAGGAATTCGGACGTAATGCTTAGGAAAATCTTGTTTAATGTATTTTTTTCCATAACATATCTTTTTTTTAGATTTTTTTTTTTTTTTTTGTCCGCGTTCGGCCCGAACGACCGAACGCATCCCCAAGGAGTCCCATACGTTCGGGCGTTCGGGTTCGGACGTTCGGCCCGTCCCGAACGCCGGTTACCTTGATCATGATCATTACAAACAAATAATGCAAATATTATTAAAAAAACTACATAAATATTTACCAATTTTAAGTATATAACATATGAAACATCCTTACATATCTTTCACTTAGACAATAATATTGTTTTTTAAGTATTAAAATAAAAAGTGATTTGAACACCA